AACCAGTTCTCGAATTACTGAACAAGATTCATTATTAAGCAAACGAATAGTAAAGCTACTGTACTGTATACTTATGCATTTATGATATTGGATTATTATTATTATTATTATTATTATTATCATCATCATTATTATTATTGTTGTTGTTGTTGTTTTGCTGTTGTTATTAAATATATATATATATATATATATATATATATATATATATATATATATATATATATATTTATTTATTTATCTATATTGAATTCATATTGAAAAATGTTGGAAACATGGAGATCCTGGATCACACAAACACAAAAAATACAAAAAAATACACACACGTGCACACACGCACGCAACGCACGTACGCAAGTACTCACTCACCCACCACTCGCTCACTCACTCACTCTCACTCACTCACTCGCTCACTCACTTACTCGCTCACTCACTCACTCACTCGCTTACTCACTCGCTCGCTCACTCACTCGCTTACTCACTCGCTCGCTCACTCACTCACTCGCTCACTCACTCACTCGCTCACTCACTCACTCGCTCGCTCACTCGCTCACTCACTCACTCGCTCACTCACTCGCTCACTCACTCGCTCACTCACTCACTCGCTCGCTCACTTACTCACTCACTCACTCGCTCGTTCGCTCACTCACTCGCTCACTCACTCGCTCACTCACTCACTCACTCACTCACTCACTCACTCACTTGCTCGCTCACTCACTCGCTCACTCACTCGCTCATTCACTCGCTCACTCAATCACTCGCTCACTCACTCACTCGCTCGCTCACTCGCTCACTCACTCACTTGCTCGCTCACTCACTCACTCACTCGCTCACTCACTCGCTCATTCACTCGCTCACTCAATCACTCGCTCACTCAATCACTCACTCGCTCACTCACTCGCTCGCTCACTCACTCGCTCACTCACTCACTCGCTCACTCACTCACTCGCTCACTCACTCACTTGCTCGCTCACTCACTCACTCGCTCACTCAATCACTCGCTCGCTCACTCACTCGCTCACTCACTTACTCATTCACTCGCTCACTCACTCACTTGCTCGCTCACTCACTCACTCGCTCACTCGCTCATTCATTCGCTCACTCAATCACTCGCTCGCTCACTCACTCGCTCACTCACTCGCTCACTCACTCGCTCACTCACTCACTCACTCGCTCACTCACTCACTCGCTCACTCACTCAATCGCTCACTCGCTCACTCATTCACTCACTCACTCATTCACATACTCACTCGCTCGCTCACTCAATCACTCACTCACTCGCTCACTCATTCACTCACTCATTCATTCACTCACTCGCTCGCTCACTCGCTCACTCAATCACTCGCTCACTCAATCACTCACTCGCTCACTCACTCAATCGCTCATTCACTCACTCAATCGCTCACTCACTCACTCACTCGCTTACTCACTCGCTCGCTCACTCACTCGCTCTCTCAATCGTTCATTCACTCACTCAATCACTCACTCAATCGCTCGCTCACTCACTCACTCAATCGCTTACTCACTTGCTCGCTCACTCACTCACTCAATCACTCACTCACTCAATCGCTCGCTCACTCACTCGCTCATTCACTCGCTCACTCAATCACTCGCTCACTCACTCACTCGCTCGCTCACTCACTCACTCGCTCACTCACTCACTTGCTCGCTCACTCACTCACTCACTTGCTCACTCACTCGCTCATTCACTCGCTCACTCAATCACTCGCTCACTCGCTCACTCACTCGCTCACTCACTCACTCGCTCACTCACTCACTTGCTCGCTCACTCACTCACTCACTCACTCGCTCACTCAATCACTCGCTCACTCAATCACTCGCTCGCTCACTCACTCACTCGCTCACTCACTCGCTCGCTCACTCACTTACTCATTCACTCGCTCACTCACTCACTTGCTCGCTCACTCACTCACTCGCTCACTCGCTCATTCATTCGCTCACTCAATCACTCGCTCGCTCACTCACTCGCTCACTCGCTCGCTCACTCACTCGCTCACTCACTCGCTCACTCACTCACTCACTCACTCACTCACTCGCTCACTCACTCAATCGCTCACTCACTCGCTCACTCATTCACTCACTCATTCACTCACTCACTCGCTCGCTCACTCAATCACTCACTCACTCACTCGTTCGCTCGCTCGCTCGCTCACTCACTCGCTCACTCATTCACTCACTCATTCATTCACTCACTCGCTCGCTCACTTGCTCACTCAATCACTCGCTCACTCAATCACTCACTCGCTCACTCACTCAATCGCTCATTCACTCACTCACTCAATCGCTCACTCACTCACTCACTCGCTTACTCACTCGCTCGCTCACTCACTCGCTCCCTCTATCGCTCATTCACTCACTCAATCACTCACTCAATCGCTCATTCACTCACTCACTCAATCGCTTACTCACTTGCTCGCTCACTCACTCACTCAATCACACTCAATCGCTCGCTCACTCACTCGCTCACTCACTCAATCACTCA